CTGTCCGGGCGCGTATGTGGTCATAAATAAAAGATTCCAAATGAAATAGCTGATTGCTGTTATTTTCAAAGGATGGAGAATTGTATGTTTTGTCCTGCTTATTGGATTCTTCTTTGTAAGTAAATTAACTCGCGCGTTGTCACTCGCTCGTTCTCACGTCTGTGATTGTTGCAAATAGATCAAAGCTCCTCCTCCTCTTTCTTCTTCTTCTTTCTTCTTGTTCTTCTTCTTTCTTCTTGTTCTTCTTCTTGTTCTTCTTTTTCTTCTTCTTCGTTTTCTTCTTCTTCTTCAACCAACTTAACCAAATCTTTCAATCCTTCGTTATCACACGCAGCACACCCCATGTCCTCCCAATATTTTAACTGCTCTCTCAAGATCCCTTCTTCGTGCATTTTTTTTTTGTGCGCGTATTTCTTTGTCTTTGTGGATTCCTGTGTATATGCATTCTGGTTATAGCGTTCTCAGATTTTTTCTCAACGTGTGTTCTATCCAACGCCAGCGCTTTTTCGTTACCTCTTGGTCCACTGGAACTTGTATAGTTCTCTCCCAAAACTCTACAGTAGTGATTCTGTCATACCATTTAATTTCCTCTATTCTGCGCAGGCACCAGTTACTGAATGTTTAGTTTATTAGTAATTGCTGTAGTTGTTCTCCTATTCCATGAATAGGACAGAAGAGAAATGGTTTGGTTTAGGGTTTAAACTAGGGCTATACCGAATATTCGCTTTGTATTCGCTTTGGGGCCGAATAGTGGACCTAATAACTATTCGGTATTCAGCCGAATAGTTGCGGTCGGGCCGAAAACGAACAGTGGTAACCTTACACCCGTTTCTGGACTGGTGGAAAATAAACAAATCAAGATTTTCCGCCTTGGTTTATACTGCCTTAATGCTGACAACATGGAACGATTTTTTTTTTCTTTTTGGGTAAGAAACAGAATTGGACAGGCAAAAACTGCATTTTATTAAATGAAGAATATCTTATGCAATATATCTTTGTCATTGAAGGTTAGAAAAAGAATTCTTGCTTGCTACATACATCCAGTTTTAACATATGGCTGTGAGTTCTGGGCAATCGGTAGACAGGCCAAACAATTTCTTGAGGCCTCAGAGATGTGGTTTTACAGAACAATGCTTAAAATAACTTGTACAGCCAAAAAAAAAAAAAAAGCAACCAAGAGGTTTTGAAAGAGGCGGGAGCCCGAAGACAACGTGGTGACCACTGGAAAGATCTGTGGAAGGAGGGATAGAGGAAGACAACGAGAGAAGATTCTTGACAGTCTTGCTGCATGGCATGGAGGTGAGTCAGCACACAAACTAATTCATGCTGCAGGAAATATCAGATTGTGGCAAGGCATAATCGCCCATGCCAGTCGGCAAAGCACCTGATGATGATTATTCACTATTCGTATTCGTATTCAGCCGAAAAGTTTGTCCAGCTATTCGTATTTGGCCGAAAAGTGAAAATCACTATTCGGTACAGCCCTAGTTTAAACGGATCAACATCATCGCACAAGGTTGGTAACCCATAAGTACTCCTTTCTACTTCTAACTCAAGCCTGTCCGAAGAATCTCAGCGCAATGCACGAACTCCGTAGTATCAGCGAACATCCTGAAATACTTTGAGTAGGTTTTTGACTCTAAATGTTACCCGGGCAGCGCCGTTAGGCTACTTTTTTCGAATTAAAATTGCCAAGAGATTTTTTTTAAGTGTCCAACAATACACATGGTCGTATGATCATACTATCCAGAGACCAGGGGGAATTACTAAAAATTCGCATGAAAAAAATTCCAGCCTTTACCGGGGCTTGAATCCAGGACCTCCAGCACTCGAGGCGGACGCAATGCCTCAAGACCACTCAGCCTCCCGAAAAGTTGAAGTCCAGATCCCCAAGCTGTTTTGTAGCATTTTGTTCCTTCTGCCTTTCAAGCCCGCAATGGAGCATAGGCCCTCAACTAACTAACACCATTGAACTTATTTGTATTGGTGTTAAAAAGCGTCACATGCTGGATGATCACGGCTGTGTGGTTTGAAGCCAGTAATTGTATCTAACTGCTTTCTTCTCAAATTTTAACGGTGCTGTTCCTAGTGCTGCTTCCAATGCTTCTGTTGATGTGCCTTTACCTGCACTCACAGCCGTGGCTAGTGCTTGACAATCAGTTGCTGAGTCATTGGTAATGCTTTCATATTTCATTTTCCCTCTCGGAAAAGTTTAAAAAAAAATTGTAAGAGAGTGGCTAGGTGAGCTTTCTATCCACTGTCTTTCATTATCCTAAAAATGTTGCTCATTTTCTTTTTACATTTGCCCACTGTTGTATCTATATGTTTGCATCAATTCAACTCTTTCCGCCTGCTATTCATCCATATATTAGTGTTATCCACCCTCTTGTATCTTGATCTGTCTTTTGCTCCCTTGTCTTTGGCTTTTCCTGCATTGTGATTTTAAAAGATTATTATGTTTTTTAACGTAGCCGAAATATTTCAGGTGTCTCTTTTCTTTAATTCTTTTCTTTTTATTTACAATCTTTCCTGAACTTCTATATTTCATTGCTTTGTGCTTTAATAATATCCTACCCCAAGCAGAGAAAAACCACAAGTCACGGAGCAGTCTAATATTTCAGGGGGCTGCATGCAGTCGTGGGCCCTAGGCGGCACTCTTTCGTGGGACGTAGGTGGGTTGGTGGTTAGGGTCAGTTCTAGATGTTTTAGGGTCTTTAAAAGCATGAAAAAGCCGGGAAACCCAGTCTTACCACTATCTAAAATGTTGGACTTCCAGTGACGTCATCTGTGGGTAAGATATTAATAAAGAACCCATTGCTTTTGTTACTATGAAATGCGACATATTCTTCTGCATATCCACAACAGTAGTGCGACAGAAAGAAAACTTTAATAATAGAAATGTGCCCAATAGCAAATGCATATGATCATATATTTGAAATAATATATGTATAAGCAGAAGTTACAGAGTAATCTAGAAGTTACAGAGTAACTTCAGTGGAGAAGGGAGACTTCAGTGTCCCTCATCGGAACTGGGGGGGAGGAAAGCTCCGGTCTCTTGTTTCCCCAAAACATGCTCAACCCCGCCCTGCCCCGCATAAGCGCTTTGTTGATGGCGGCCTATTTTAAACATCAATCCAGCGACATCACGTGACTTTCGATAGATTGAACAGGGATTCTGGCCTACCTTGATGATGCTGTTGTTTCTGTGTTAGTCTCAACAGTATGCAAGGGCTTTTATTAGAGTGTATGTGTTATCAGAAAAGACATAAGTTTGTTTCCCTTCTAAAAATAACAAGCTCGGGTTGCAGTCAGAAAAACTGTCTGGGGGTGATGAGGCTTCTGCAACTCCCCCCCCCCCTCCCCCCTCCCAAATTTTACTTACAAAATGTGTAATTCGGGAGTGGTTGAGCAGCGCTTTCCCCACCCCCCCCCCCAGCTTTCCCAAATGTTAACTGCGTGGCGGCGGGCTTCCTAAGCCCTGATTTTCTGGCGCGCTCCTGTCTCACACGACACCAGAACTACAGATCGGGTCGGCGCTCTTGTCTCGTCCTATTCAAAGCCATAAGTCCTACTGTATGCCGGAAAAAAAAAACGAAATTCTTCATTTACCGGTTATTTAGCTGCCGGATTGAATGCAGCGTTGTCGCTTAGCAACAATTTCCCCATGGCATCGAACATATAGCCTCATTTTGAGACTAGCGGAAAAACTGAAGAGTTTTAAATCCAATGTCGGAAATTAGATATCACTTTTGAATATGAAACCTAGTTTAATTAATGTGGTTTTTCTTTATCGTGAATAAAAAGTGTGCTTTAGAGTCTGTAAAATAAAATGTGTGTGTGTGTGTGAGAGAGAGAGAGAGAGAGAGAGAGAGAGAGAGAGAGAGAGAGAGAGAGAGTGAGAGAGAGATGGTACGTGTAAAGGCAGTTAGCTAGTCATTCTGCTGGTTAGCTGGTCGGTCTGCCTGTTAGCTAGTCAGTCAGCCAGGTAGTGAATCAGTCAGTGAATCAGTTAGTTTGTTAGTCGGTTGATTGGCTGGTTAATTAGTTGATTAGTTAGCTGACTAGTTAGTTAGTAGGGTAATTATTTAGGCAGATAACTAGTTGGTCAGCTAACTAGCTAGCTATTTAAATAATTAGTCAGTTAGACTTTAGATTTGGGTAGATGTTCTGCGTTCACCTGATAAAGACTTGAAGTCGACAATTTGTATTTGCCTATCATCTTCTCTCTTGGTCTACTCTTGTATTCTCTGTGCTTGTTTCATGTTTGTCTGCCTAACTGTACGTCTGTCTGTCTCTGCGTCTGTCTTTCATATGTCTCTCTTTCTAAGCGTTGTCCCCATGTGGTATGTAATTTTTAGTTATTTTGAGGCCCCACTAGCTTTTCCGGGATCCCTAAATACAACCGGGCCTTAAATATATCCTAACCGCTGAACGGGGTTTCCGGGACCTCTCCACGGGTGATCCTCGTCCGCATGGTGGCACTTTGTGTCACCGGGTGTTTATCGCTTGAGTGATTTCCTGGTGGGGTACAACTTACCTACCTAAATATCTCAGTTCGATCTCTTTAACATCACATTAAAAACAAAAGAAAAAAAAATATAGAAACTGTCATAAACAAAGGGATTACTTTCCGCGTGTAAAAAAACAACGTATTCAGCAAAACCCAGTCAGGAATTAGAGCCAGCAGGTCTACAATGGACCATATAATTAAATAGTGGACCAAGTGAAAATAGCATCTAAAATAGGAACTGAAACTATGGCAGTATTTTGAGATTTAGCTCAAGTTTATGATGACCAGCCAGAGTTGGTGACATGCTGTCCTGTATAAAGTCGGAGACATAAGACCAGGATAAGGTGGACAGCTATATAGGTACATTAAGAGATTCTTTGAGGACAGGACATTCTGGGTGATCATTGACAATTAAAGATTAAATATTTACATAGAGGAAATCAGATTCCCCCAAGGTGCGGTATTATCGCCAACAATATTCTCAATCATGGTTAATGATCTTAACGAGGTAATTAAAGACCCAAGAGTAAGCCTGACACAGTTTGCAGATGATTGTTCGATATTTACCAGAGATAAGTCGGTAAAGACGGCAAGAAACAGATTAAAAAAAAATTCAGCAGTGTTACTAATTGGATATTCAAATGGGGTTTCGGAATTCATACCAGTAAAACAGTAAGCACGGTATTTAACTACAAACGACAGCGCTACTATGACAGTGATGATGTTACAATTAGAGTAACGAGCGCACGCTTTATATGAATGATTTTGAATGTACATCTGAATTGATGCAAACGTATAGATACAACAGTAGACACGTGTAAAAGAAAAATGAGCAACATTTTAAGGATAATTAAAGGCAGTGGATAGGAAGCTCACCAAGAAACTCTCTTACAATTTTTTAAACCTTTTTCCGAGAGGGAAAATGGAATGTGAAAGCATTGCCTATAACTCAGCAACTGATTGTCAAGCACTAGCCACGGTTGTGAGTGCAGGTAAAGGCACATCAACAGAAGCATTGGAAGTAGCACTAGGAACAGCACCGTTACAATTTGAGAAGAAAGCAGTTAGATACAATTACTGGCTTTAGACCACACAGCCGTGATCATCCAGCATGTGACGCTTTTTAACAACAATACAAATAAATTCAAAGGTGTGCCAATAAGAAACATGCTTAGGCCAGCAGGATGGGATGTAGAAATGAAAACTAATAAGGAACTAGCAAGGACACTTGAACTGAGTAAGAGATTTAAACCTCAAACACCACCATGGAATATGAAACCATCATATGTAGACATAAGCCTGGCAGAAACATATTTCACAAAACACTGATCCACTACAAGAAAAGACCATAGCAGAGCAGCACATTAGAAACATTGAGACTATAACCTGATAATGTACACTGATGTATGCCGCCCCCCCCCCCCAAAAAAAAAATTGCAGATGATACGTCATTTTTCACAGCCGAACTAGACGGCATAATGAAAGCCTTGAAGATAGAGCAGAGCTCCCCCCCCCCCCCCCTTTCCCCCTTTTTTTTTAAAAAACTGACAATAATGACATATTCTCTTTCATCGGTACCGTCACAAAGAAGCTATACACATTGAAGTAGGTCAGACATTAAAGGCGAGATATTGACACTAACCACACAACTTAGGAACGACGGATGCCAGTTCACCATAGCATAGGTCCCACCGCATAAAGGCATAGTGGGTAAAGAAAATGACAGAAATTTTTGCAAAAAGAGGTACCAGCAGCCATATTATAATAGAAACAGGCCTAGAAAAAAAAAAACTGATGAGAAGAGTCGAATCAAACGGTATATTATAGGAATAGAAAAGAAACAGCGGGAAATTAGTGTTACGGGAAGAGTGACCTGCAAATACATGAGAGAACCCGCGTTGACATCACAAGTCTCAGGCAGTCTAAAGATTCCAGTAAATAATAGGTTTTGGAGATTGACTTGGACATCGGAAAGCCAAATTTGCAGCACCCTTATGTCTAGATTGCTTCAGGAAAACACAACAGACCACTTCCTGTTCACATGCACCCTTTATAAACAGGAAAGAAAACACATGCAAGACTGTTATAAAAAACGAAATAAGTCATTGGCATCCAAGGAATGTTTACGCGTTGATAGAAATGAGAATATACAGAAACAGATAAAGACATTCATTTACAGGTCATGTAAAGTATTGTCTCTATAGATAAGGATATAATACGTCAGAAACAACGCGGTGAGAAAAAGGAATTAAAGATTCTAAGAAAAAAAAAAAAGGAATTGATTGCACAATTTATTGCTTGGCATATAAGTGAATCCTTCACACCTGAAGTACAATTTATTTTGCACTTCAGTTTAAACAATCCATTGTACTTCAGTTATAAAAGATTCACTCTATGCTTCATTTGTAATTGTTACTGTAGTATGCACATGACGAGAGACAGCGAAATACGCCAGGCAATAAATTGTGATATCTATTGATTGTGTCTTCTTTGTTCAAAACGAATTGAGTGAAACACCTAAACCTGCCAATGCTGAATATACCCTTATAGTAGTGGATATTGAGAAAATGTCACATATACAAACCAAAAGACCCAAACTAATAACCAAGGAACAAATAATACAAAATTAGCAAGGTATATCATATTTTGTGAAATCATCATAATGCGGCTTGAAAAAGGAGTAGATAAATGCCTACGAGTGGAACAAGCAGGATTCAGAAAGGGCAGAGAAACAACTGAGCACATCTTCGCCATACGTAACATTTTAGAACAATGCAATGAATGGCAGAGAAGTATATATATTAATTTTGTGAACTTTGAGAAAGCTTTTGACAGCGTCCATAGAGACGGTCTGTGGAAATTTTTACGACGTTATGGAATTCCAGAAAAAATAGTCAACATTATTGCTCTCTTCTATAAAGACTTTTCCTGCAGTATAAAAAATTACAATACATCTTTCCCAGTAAAGACAGGTGTAAGACAGGGATGTG